TATCAAAATTGTAATTGAGAAGCTCGATTTCTGCTCAAATGTGGAAGCAATTTGGTTTTGCATTCGATTTGAATTAGGTTTTGATTATTACTCACTTGGATAATAACGTTGACTTGGGTTAAGTTTATATAAAGTTCAGTTCTTTTTGACTCTCATGGCTTTTCACTGAGCTCAAGCCTCACGGTAACGAGTTGGGTCCGGAAATTTCCAATTATACTCGAAGCACTTTTGGTCAAAACTACAGTTCTTAGATGGTGTTTGTGGAATCTATCACTTATTATCGTAAACCCACATTGAGAGAAGCTATGTATATCAAAAATTCGTGTACTTGTAGATATTACAACTCTTAGGATTAGGAGCTCTGTTCAGGACAGTGTTTGTAGGTAGTAATAGTATTAAACCAGTATCCTTTTTACTTTCCAATCGTACTCGGAGCACTTGTTGTTGTTAAATTGTGGATTTGGGTTTTTCTCTCAGGTGGTGGTGATAGGATAGGTGAAGGGAATGATCTGCCTCTACGCTAAGTAACGTTACATCAGGTTTTGCTACAGAGAATATAGTATCAGAGCATGGAAGGGAAACTTGATAACCAAAGACGTATCGATGTCAAGAGGTTTAACAGGAAAGCTTGGCCTGATTCTTGTCAGGTTATGGTCTACATCTTTGGTTAAAGCTCTTACCTTTATGCAATCCTGGTTCTTGAATCTTTGGTTTTATTTTTTGATAGGATGAAGCTAAAGCTGTTGGGCAGTTAAGGAACTATAGGATGGCAAAGCTTCTTGGATGTTGCTATGAAAGTGAAGAGAGACTTCTTCTTGCTGAGTTTATGCGTAACGAAACTCTGGCTAAGCATCTTTTCCATTGTAAGATTTAGCTTTCTTCTCTCGTTTATGGCTCTCTACGTATGGTTACATCACTTGAGACAGAAAGTGTTAATATGTTTCAGGGGAGTCACAACCTATGAAGTGGACAATGCGACTAAGAGTAGATTTACATATTGCTGCTGCTTGTATTCGTGGTGGTGCTTGCCGTGGAACTGCTGATATGAGTGACTTAACTAGGTTTTAATTGTGTATATTTTGTGGCTAGTGGTAAATGTAAAACTAAAGGATAAAAATGATAATAAAATTGGCAGGCCTGGTTTTTTGGCAGGTAAAGCTGCTGGAGCTTAAGTTATTGTTGTTCCTTCTCTTCCTAAACACACATCTTTTGGTCAACTCCTGCTTGGACACAGTTCTCTGTTGGTCACAAATCCGCCACAGAGGCAGTTCCATATTTTGAGCTGGTAATATTTTTCAGTGAGGAGGCTGCTTGAAGCTTGAAGGATCCAGTTAAATTCAATCAAGAGCTTCACAGGTGAT